CCTGCAGCACTGGTGGCCAACAGACACGACACACACACACACATGTGCATTCTTCCAACAAATCTGAACCCTTCAGCCCCCCCCCCCCCCCCCCTCACGCCCGTAGCATCTCTCAGCCTCTCTGTGTTCCCCATAACTGACACACCACATGTGCTCATATCAAGTGCAAACATGACATGATGTACACACTCTCATACACACGCACAAAGCTGCACAGGCTGTGTTCATCTGATGCTGCATGTACACGGTGCGGTCATGACCCGCTCCAGTTTGATACGCTATAGGGATGATGGGCTTGAATAGCATGTCTTTTTTATTACAACCCTAAAGCTAAAAAACTTTACTGAACAGAGCCCGACATCAAACCTCCATCGTAAATGAGCTGTAATTGCATTAAAATGGAAAATAACTAACACTTCTGAATCCTGACAATAGTTATTTTTTAGATTTTTATACATATATATGTATGATTTGAAGGTTTATGTATTTAACATGCTATTAAAAAATTACAATAACCACATATGTTTCTGCCAGTCCTGCACTAATCAAGCACCATTGTACTTATTTTGCGCATATCTGGATCTGTGTTTCTCCCTCTCTGCGAGCATAATTTCCCTTTGTGGCGACGTACAGTCTTCTGCACCTGTTTGTGCCTCACTGACAACACGGTCGTGGAGCATAGATGAACTAATTTCCTTGAAATAGAGAACACTGCAATCAGGGAAAGGAAAAAATGCACCGAGCAGCAGATGGAAGAAGCTAATCATTGTTATGAAATAGAGATGACCTCTATATCTCCTGCCTGCTAATACACCGTAGCCACACACATTTGGCATGTAGCCCCTCTCTCCTCCCTTCTTTGCCTGTTAGTGGTGATGATGAACCTCGTTAGGTATAAAATGCAGCCCTCTTTTTTTTTTTAAATGTTGAAACAGAAAAGATTGGAGTTGTCAAACAAAGCCTGGTGTCACATAAAGAACGGCAGCTGCCTGCAGCGGGTAATCAGCGGAGCTTTCTACAAATTAACAACATTCAGCTCTGAAGCACGGCGCACTGCAGGTTTTTAGATCTGGGCTTTTGAAAATTAGATCTCACATACAGAATAATTTACAGTTCGCTTTTTCGCACACATGCTCTTTCAATTTTATCAGCTTTATCCGAGGTGGCTTGGCCGAGATGTCCCGGTCATCCTTAATTGCTGTAAACTGTTACTGCGACTGTTCAGTCTGAACGCAGGAAAATCAGTTTAAATTCATGAACTACACGAGGGATCTGTTCTTTGTGTGCCTCGGTCCTGGATGTGATTCTCCCACATCTTCTAACACATGATGCATTACTGAGAACATGTGCACACACACAAACAAGAAGAGACATGATGCACAAACACACAAATACTTTAAACAAACTGAGCATGGTGTTGCCAGGGGAAGTAAAGGTAAACTTTGCTGCGGGCGGATAGTGGATGAGGATGAAAGCATTTAGCCTTACACTCATTTATCAATTTATCAAAGCGCGTATTCAGTAGAGTGGTGCATTTGATAAAAAATATTTCACAATTTGTTAGTGATTAATTGATAAATTATCCAAATGTTTTATGAAAAAATTAATTTCCACTGTTTTGGATATACACCACAATGTTTTCGATACCGCTGCAGGTCCGATTTCCTTTTGAGAACATCGACATAAAATAATGTGATGCTGCTTTTTGAGGCTTTACACACCAAAGTCACTATAATCTCCCAGCACATTTATCTAATGTATGCAAATGATCTTGCTGTGTTTAATGAAGGCACCATTAATCACTATAACGATGGTCTTTTTTAACCAGGGTAATCATGTGCACGCAGACACACACAAGCACATTTTCATATGCATACACAAGCATATGCGCTCACTCTCCCACACACGCACACACGCACACACACACAGGAACACGCCTCATCACCACCAGCACATTAATGACAAATGTGCACAATCACAAAAATAAACCATTTTATCAGAAATGTAACTGTGTATGATGAAGACCTCGTAGTCACTCACTCATTAATATCAATGTTTTGAGTTCATTTTCATCTCCACTTTATCTTCCTTACTTCATTTATACCCTGTGAATTTAACATTATGTGCAACTAGTCTTTTGATGATCATGGTCCATCCTGGAAATGACATGGTTAAGTTAATCACCTCAAAATCCTCCTAATAAAAGACAGATAAGATTCAGCAAAATATGTGAGCACGTCAATCATATTTATATAATAAATCCAGCTAATTAGTTCCACTGGTTTTAACAAATTATTTATGATTCAGCAGCTTTATGCAAACAGCAGATAACACTGTTGTCAGTGTGAATGGGCAGCGGGAAACGCAGTGATATTGTGCGCTGTGTATAATGACAACAGAACACTGGACAGATGTCTTTGAACTCGTGCAAGAATTCAAAAGGAGAAAGCTGAAAAACATTTTTTTTGTTTTTTTGAAGCCCAACTCCTCACGGACGTATATCAACGCTTATCCTCGCCGCGCATTTGCATACAGTTGACGGAAACCCCTGGGTACAGTCAGCAGCATGACAGTGGGTTATGAAGGCTTCCGGGAGGCTCTGGGGTGTGGATCTGAGCCAGTTTGAAGGGAAGCCGAACCAATGAAGAGCCCATAGCGGATTAGACACCCACAGCTTCATGTCGCTTTAATGCGGCGAGTCAGGGATTTTCTTACAACCCTTTTGCCTAGACGCTCAGGGTTTTCTCATGGCCCTTTTTTCCTCCTCATTCCCTTTTCCCTTAAAGTAACCTTTTCTATGTAAATGGCAAAGTGATGTTGACTCCAGTGCAAAATATCCCATTAATCTCCACTCTCCCTGCTTACTGTGCAAATGTGACTTGTCAGAGGTTGACTCTGATTGATTGTTATAATCAAATGTCATTTGAAATCTATCATGTCACACAACTCTATATCTCCGAGACGTGCAGAAAAAAACACTTATAAACATTTCTTTATGTCAACTTTCAACATATTAGAATTGTGAAGGAGTGCTGAAGCGTGTTGATTAATTTACTATGAAAGTTACATTTTTATCAAAGGTCAAATTGAATGCAAATCGTGCAAATACTGACAGAATTTCACAACATACAACACACGTAAAAATATATTATCAACACAAACACGCTCACACATGCACACACACACACACTCTCACACATACACCTCAAATTCCCTTGACAACAGTCTGACTGGCAGAGGCTAAAGACAGAGTAGGCGTCCGTAATTGAACAAACATAACAATGTAAATATTTATTAATACTATCCATTGGGGATACAGGCAGAATCCCACATTTGATATGCTCCCTTTCTGCTCTTTTGCTCTTCCACTCACACCCACATACCCCCTCACACCCACGCACACATCCCCCCCCTCACACACACACAGAGATTCACACTTGTACTAACTACAACTCACACCTTTTTCCCTGTTTCCTTTCTTGGTATTACACTTGCCTGTGTTCATTAGAGAGATGGAGATATATTGGTCTGTCTATCCTCTTACCAGGGGTGACCTGTAGCCCATCTGGGCTGGCGATGACAGGAGATCCCTGGGAAATAGCGGCGAGTGCGTCTCGGGGACGGAGCCCACGCCACTGGCTGCTAGTCCCGAGAGCTGCCCGTACTTCGCCATCATCTTGAGATGCTGCTCACAGAACACACACGCTCATACACAGACACAGGAGGAGAGGGGAGGCGAGAGAGAGAGATAGAGAGAGAGAGAGAGAGACAGAGAGAGAGAAAGGGGAAAAAAGAGAGAGGGAAGGGGTGTGAGAGGAGGGAAGGAAAAACAGATAACAGCAGGTAGGAAGGACAGCGAGGATGGTAAAGGACAGAAGTGGGAGCGGGGGAGAAAACATGAAGAAAGAGGAGGTAGAGGGGGATTACAGAACACTTTGCTCTCGCACAAATGCATGTGAGCATACACACATACACTCGCAGACTTACTGTACGTGCACATGAAGGCACACATACAATTTTAGCCCCAGGTGGGCAATTTCACAAGCAAGCCTGTGTTTGATGGATTTTGATGGCTACCTTGGTTTTGTCACAATGAGGGGGGATATAAAGTCGAAACACTAGCTCTCCGTTTATGATTACAAGCCAGGATGAGTGTGAGAAGCATAGCAGTCCCTGTTTCTGCGTACCGACCATCGTGCCGGGGAAATATAATAAGCAGCAGATGTTATCAATCATCCCCTTTTCTGGCTACGAGCATACAGAAGTGCACAGACACGCACAGACACACACGACAACATACATGACAGAATGGTTGGCAGCAGACATATACAGGTGAGGCATGGAGAAAGAAATCCAAATCTCTTTACCTCATTGCTCAACAAAGCGGCGTTGAGTGATCTGCTTATTTCGAACATGTTCAGATTCAGTGCTTTTTTTGCCGTTCTGTCCTTTTGTTTTCAGGTTCTCTTCAGTTCTTTGTTCCCCCTGTTTTCTTTTCGTTGTGTACGGCTGGGAGTCAGTCCCGGGAACACAAAAAAGAAAGAAAGTAAAAATGAAATCAATTGAAAAAAGAGGGGGATAAAAAAACCCTCTTGAATTTTCAGATTTTGGAGTTGGGATTTTTCAGTCCTCTTATTTCTTGTCTCTCTCTCTCTCCACTGTCTGTTGATGCACCTCTGCAGGCTGTGGCTGTAGTAGTGGAGTTTGTGCCCAGGGTCTCCGCACACGTCTAAGGAGTCAATATGCTGCTGTTCTTTTTTTTTTTTTAAATCTCCCAAGAGTCAGCACATTAAAACAGGCAGTCAGGCAGTCGGTGGGTCGAGCTGGCGGGCTGGCTGGCTCCCTTATCTGTCCCCCGCACACTGGCTCACACAATACGCTCCGATCCTCACACTGCTCGCTAGCAGATTAGCCTGTCCCAAAACATAGCACTTAGTTTAAACTCCCCTCCCTTTTGCTCTCTCCCTCTCTCTCTCCCTCTCTCTCTCACTGTATAACTCTGTCTCTCTCCTTTGCTCTACCTCTCTCTCTCTCTCTCTCTCTCCCCCCCCTCTCTCACTGTAGCACTCTGGCTCTCTCATTTGCTCTCCCTCCCTCCCTCCATCTCTCTCACTCTCCCTCTCTCTCTCTTCCCCTATTGCTCACGCATTGATGCAGCTTCAGTTCACTGTGCTGCCACAAGGTGGGAAGACTGTTCTTACAACGGCGACACCATCGCCACCACCACATCCTTTCCTCTTCCGTGCCACTCCTATCTTTTACATTTTCCTCTCCTCTTCTCATGTGTGTATGTCTATAACACATAGGTATAGATGGTGAAGGAGTGCTTTGCATTTCGGATCAGAATATACAGCCTGGATGAATGAACCGATGAGGGGTTTGAGGAGTAATACTGTTCGTTTATTATTTATTTGTGGCTTTTACAAAAGCAGTGTGGAGAGCAGTTATGAAATACTTAAGGGGAAGAAAAGCATTCATTGCTTCCTCTGACGTGTTTTTGTGACACATACAAGCAAAGTAATAGGATGCAATAAAAGCCACACACCATTGAGATGCCTCTAGAGAGTGGAAGGGAAGGGAAGGGTACCTCTCAGTAACGGCAACCAAACGGGGGAAAGTGTGGGTTGGGCTGATGTGAGCATCAAGGTCAGGTGGATGTCCTTCTCCTCAGCAGGGTGTGGCACAGAGATGACGAAGCAGCTAGTCACAAGCGTGGCAGGAGATCCCAACTACGGAACAACAAAAAAAGAAAAAAGGGGGGGTTATGTGTGCCAAGAATATGATTCACTACATTCTTGGATTCAGTCGATAACACTTCTTCAGACAGCAATGACTCATGGGGTTCTGTATCTGAATCGAGTGAAGTATAAAAAGTCCAGATGCTTGTGAAAAGAAGAGGTGTTTGATAGAAGAGTGATTGGGAACGTTGTCATCTTCATTAAAGCTAATTTCAATTGTATCTCATTGTGGCTCCATCGGCAAGGCAGAGGATTTATTCTCGGTGCTCTGAATGTGCTTTTTGCTGTCTTGGATGAGAGCGGCGGCGAGTGGCCAGTTAATAGCAGCCTATTGACACTAGACCATCTGTTCAGGTGGACACTGTCCAGCACAGTGGAGAGAGGGAGAGGGAGAGGAGTGGGTGATGATGAGTCGATGAGAGGGGGGGGTAATGGGAAGAAACAGAAGCAGAGGAAGTGTCAGAAAACAGTTTGTTTTTACAGATGTTTATGTCAGAACGGGAGGGAAAAATATGTAGCGACACCAAGCGTGTGGCGCATATTAATAATGCTGTTTACATGTTTTAAATTAGCACCTTTTCTCTTTTTACATTTTCAGCAGTAACAGGATACTGTGAGGTCATCATCAACAGCCTAACTGTGATGTTGCACCATCGTACTCACTTGGCTTTGATTCCATTTAATTGCCCCCCCCCCCCCACAGAGAAAAAGGACTGCTAGCCACATCCCCGTACTGTAGAGCCCATAGTCTCTGGGGATGGCTGGTAAGGCAGAGCCCTGGGGGGAGCTGTCAGTTGAATCATCCAGAGTGAGGGCTGATTCCTCCGTCAGCTGCCTCTCAAGCCTTCCTCTCTGACCCAGCCTCGCTCCCCTGAGCCCCCTGATTGCTGTCACCATAGTGATTCTCTGTGTACTGCCGGCTGGTCAATGTAACCCCCGCCTTCCCAACACTGAGAACCACCCCCCCCCCGGAAGCTGGCACTCCTCACATCCACTCCCTGCCACTTGTGCCTCGTGTTTTGATTTTTGCATGACTTCCCTCTTCAATGATGATGATGGACTCTATGTGCGGAAGTCCTGAGCTGACCAAAGTAAAAAGGGTTTCCCTGTACTTGCTGGAGTACAAATATATAAAAACATAGATCTGCTTGGCCAGCATGTGCACACGCACACATGCACACACACACACGCCTACATGCACATCGAGCTTCAGGCTGGAAACATAAACAAGAAATTCTTTGTGTCAGTTTTCTTTTCCTCTCAGTTGTGCTACTGAGCCACAAGCACTGACTTATTTGATCATTTTACAGTTTAGAAGAAAGAGTTTCTTTCTGAAAGAATGAAACGCACGGCTTGGAAAATATCTTTGCTGTGCCAAAGCGTCTGTCTCCCCGAGGGGTTTCTGATGTGTTCTGCACAGGATTGTGATGCTGTGGTGTGTCCTCCAGTCACTAGCAACCCAACGCTTAAAATAGTCACCGTTTCTTAAAGTTACTGTAGATTCTGTATTTCGCCATGACAGGCATGTCTACATGTGAGGCACATTCAAATGTGCAGAAATCATTAGTGGTCAAAACTGTTTTGATAAAACTACGCTCTCCTGAGAGATAATTAAAATTTGAGAGGCCGTACTGAGGACTGTTCTTCTCTTTCATGTTCTTCTATTTTCTAGTGATAGATGTGTTCATTAAATCATCGCTGCACTTTGCAAACATCATGACAAGAAATATTCAGCATGCATGCGTGCAGAGTGGTACTTGGGTAGAGAGAAGAGGGGGTAATGTTGAATGCGATGCTATTTTCTGTCCATCTTTAGGAGGACACAACAATATAGAGTATGATGCTTCAAAAGAAAAGGGAAACCATCAAGAAAAATTATTCATGCAACTCAACACTATGCCGTAACACCATTAGCCATTGTAGTTCCAATATAGGACACTATACTTTTCAACATGTCCCAGCCATATCAAATGTAATTGTAGGTAATTGTTAGATTTAACAACCAGATGTGAGTGTTGGTCTTTAGATGAAGTTACAGAATCTAAGTGCTACAAACCCTGCAGAGACGAGCAAGGATCTTGCGGTAAATTCAGCTACACTTCTGCAGTCTCAGATTGATAAGAGCTGAGAAACAAGGGAGACATGTAGCGTATCTAATTCATTCTTCTCATGCTCCATAATTCAATTTCAATCTCCCTCTTGAAAATGAGTGATTGTACCACCATAGAGCTCTTTAATTGGCATAGTGTTAAAGGAATGACATAGCATGGAGGACAGCTATTCAATTTTTAATTTTAGCGAAATATTACACAGCAGCCCCGTATTCTCTTCCTGTCATCTGAGAAATAATCAGTCCAACCTATCTGCTCAGAGGCAAGTTGATGCTCGCCATCAAATACAGATCACACACGGTGGAGAAAAACCATTGCCCTCTCCCTGGTCTCACTCATTTGGTCCCGTTACATACAGTTTATAACCTGAAAATTAGCAGCAGCCTGTGCACCTCTTGCTCCAGGAGTTGTGCGGCTGCTCATTTGATGTACTTAATCAGGTGAAGCCTTTGTAATGGGAAAGGAATAGGGCCAGGCTTGATTGGCCTTGATGACATCTATGCTCCAATTGTCTAGAAAACCTCCAGCTTTAATCGATCTACAGGATAATTCAGAGTCTCTGGCCGCTGTCTGCAATGATTGGCTTTTTTTCTTTTCGACATAAAATTGAGGTGTGTACAATATACTGATTACAGGTTAAAAGCACGGTGGATTGCTCATTTCTACTTTACTTGAGCCTACAGAATGTAAATGTCAAAGATACACTATGTTCCACACAAGCATATATAACTTTTTCCAAATTAAGTATTGATTAAGTTTACTTTTGGAATATTTTTTGGCAAAGGGTTTTCAGATAGAGGATAAAGCTAAATGTCTTTCACTTTTCCTTTTGCTATTTTAGAGCCTATTCTGAACGGATACACAACAGGTGGCAGCTAGTACCAGTACCATCACTACTTTACTTCGACAGCTTTAGATCAGAGCGTTTTAAATTAGAATAATACAACAATTACAGGTGAACAGCTGAAGAATGTTTAAAGAATCTTCAGTTTTTTAGACTGTAATACAATTCCAGGGTTTGATTAAAAAAAGCAGGAAGCAGCTTCAGTATATATGATCTAATGAGATGGTTTCACAACATCTGGTCTGTTTTTGGTATTGTAACTGTAGAGTCTGTGAATCTGAATCTGAGAGATCTGTCAGGGACATGAAATATCATGGCTACAGTTTTATCTGAGACAAGTTCACATAAAGATTTATAGACTTGTGCTTTGATCTTGAAGTCTTGATTATGAATACGTAGTCAGTGTGATCTACCTACATGTCAATCACAGCATTAAAACAAATACCTGGTTTTAATATGATCGCTACTCGGTGTTTCTCGCTGTACTATGGTCTAATCAGATCTGATAAAAAAATAATCATGCTTCTGAGACAACTGTTATGTTCATACTTTAAATACTGCATATATTGTATTATACTGTATACTGGTATGCATGTGCCTATATTTGGGCAAGTATTATGCTCGTGTTCATTAACTCATTGTCAATCATATGAATATATACAGATATACTCTTGTGTGTGCATTTTTTTATCCTCTAAGGAGGACACTGACTTTTTACGTGACTATTTTTTTGTTGAGTTTCTTTTCAGTCTAATTTTATTTAGATAAATAATCAATCAAATATACTTTAGTGCACCCATGGGGAAATTTTCCTGGGGCCAAAGTGCTACAGCAGCTGCAGAACAGTGCATTTTATAACAAACAACAAAAAACATACACAAGGACATATCATGTAAGACCCAGAATATCAGAATGTTATTAAAATGGTCGAAACAAAAATGTTTCCTTATGAGTAGTGTGATGGACGTTGGGATGAATGAGAGGCGGTTGGTCTTACACTTATAGGCTCTGTAACGTATGTCTTAAAGGTACAGTGTGTAGAATTTTGTGATGTTAAGTGTTGGAATTGCTTGTTGCAGCTGAACACCCCTCACCTCACCCTCTCCTTTCAAACATGAAAAAGAACCTGTGACAGCCTTTAATTGTCATTAAAAACTCAAAAGGTGTTTAGTTTGTCTAGTCTGGAGTAATTAAAAAAACATGGCAGCCTCCGTAGAGAGGGTCCCCTCGATGTTAATATAAAGTATTTAAATATAAAGGACCTTCTCTGGGGTAAAGAAAACTACAATTCATAAAATTTAGATGAAACGAACTAGAGAAAACATCATGAGGATTATTCTACATTACATTTCTGCCAATAGATCCCTTTCACCTAAATCTTACACACTGGACCTTTAAGGTAAGCAGTCAAAGTCAGAGAACAGTATGTGTGACCGGTCATTGAGGATCCTGTGTGCTGGTCTGACCATAGAAACTTCTGGAGGGAAGGATAGTCCTTTCTGCCCATCACCTTCATAGATGTTTTCACCATGTTCTCGATTTTTCTTCTGTCTGCAGAGATGCAGATGCAGACTGGTGTGTCTGCAGAGATGCAGATGCAGACTGGTGTGTCTGCAGAGATGCGCCTCTTCCTCCTCCTGCTCCGTTACCGGGGCAACGCGCAGAGAGCGTCGGCTGCTGTGTAGCAGGCAGGAGAGGAAGATGGAGGAGAGCACTGTTAGAGACGGCGACACTGGTGTGTAAAAATGACCCTTACACCGCATTGTTATACAAGCAGAAGGAGGCGCTCGGTTCCTCGTAGCCTGGATAATAATACACGTGCATGCTTCGGGCTCGCTGCGAGTCTGTGTTGACGCTAACGTGAGGTGTGCTAACCTAGCTAGCAGGTACAGGGATGTAAACAAGAGTGCTGTTTAAGCTCGTTATGAGCTAGCTCTGCTGTTACTTACGCTGGTGAAACATATCATGAAGTGTATGCGGGCACTGTACCGCACAGGAGGACTGGAGGTGAACAGCCGGCATGTTTATGTGTGAGGGGAGCAGCGGTGAGAGCAGGTGTAGTGGCTGTTAGCTAGCTGTGTTACCTTAGCTCCTCCTGTGATGCTAATTAGCTAGCTGTCAGAAGCTGAAGTTGTTCTACGCTCACGTTTGTTGGTTTTACAACCCGTGAACACACGCAGACACATCTTAATAACTCCTGGGAAAAGAAAAGATTTGAACAGAAAATGAACTGACCTGTCTGTACATACAAGGATCAGTCATCACTGTGAGAACCTGTCTGTCTGTGGTCTCTGTAGTGGCTCAAGGTTTTTACTGTCCGTGGTGTTTTTAGACAGAGTAAAGCAGTCTCCATTTTTACTATGCTCATCAATATTATAGACACGTGTGTACAATATACACAAAGGTGTGTTTTCTATCTAAAGATGCCAATTGAATTGAAAATCAGAAAAACACAACACAGTCATGCAGTTGAGTAGGTAAAGGCCATTTGTTAAAGCTTCGGACTGAAGCAGCACTGTGTAGGTTCAGGTGCAACTTGTCTTTCAAACGAAGAAAAGCAATCTTTTCAAATGATTTATTAAGATGTGTGCTCAGGTTTGCACTGCAGATTGACTCTTTTGCTCTCACTTTTTTTGTTTAGTGACAACTAACTTTTAAATAACTATAAGTTAACTCTAAGTAAATACGTTTGTAACCATAATTTGTGATAACACGAGAACATGCATGGCATCAAATATTTTTACTTCAACTATCCAGGTCAGATATCATCTACCTAATGGCAAAATCATTTCGAATTAGGTTTGAGAAAATTCATTTTTACACATTGTCTTTGAATAAAATGAGACTTTTTCATTTATACTGGACTTGCTCTTCAGGAAGTGAAACCGGAGGAGAGGATGCCTTGGTGGGGAATGTGAACAAACTGACAGTGAGCCCACCAGGATACACTGGAGCTCTACGAAAAGGACACCTGGTTTTTGATGCTTGCTTTGAGAGCGGTGAGTAGTGAAACTAAAAAACAACACATTTGTAAAAAAYAACCCCCCCCCCCCCCCCCACAAAAAAAAGTAAGTGGTGAGCCATGACAAACATGTTTTGATGTTGCTCTTTTCATTTTTGAGATGTCTTTTTGTGTTGAGTAGTAAGTGTTGTTTTCAGTGGTGGCTGCAAATAATTACAGGCTTCAGTGTGTGAATTTTATATCAGCCCTCCTTCAACCTGCAGGAAAAATCCTTAAACCCATGGGTGGGGAACCTTTTTCCTATCAAGGGTCATATCAGTTTTTATAACATCCTTCAGGGGCCATACTTAATAAATAATTGAACACATATATCACAGTATCCTCTCTGGTGCCATGACTGGATCTGCTTCTCTTGGGCCAGACATCTTCTGTCAGATGGTAGCGATGATGATGCTACAAGCAGCTTTTGGGTCAGTCTTGAGAGAAATCTTTGCAAGAGTCAGTTTTGAAAATAATTGCTCTCAGCAGTGAGCCATCTTGAATAGAGTTGTAAACACTGAGGTATGTCTGAACAGAATGAAAACATCCTCAGGACGTAGTGCATACAGTTTATAGAGCTTTCAGGCTTATTGGAGAAAAATAAATCTATGTGAAAAATTCATGAATTGCCTCGTGGACCTGATCAAACTGTCTCACGGGCCTCATATGACCCAGAGGCCTGGCATGCTTCATCCCTGCCTTAACATGACTGTAAATGTCCAGGTGCATGTTAAAAAACATGTAAATGAAAAACCAAAATGTTGTATTAGGAAAGTTTGGGCAACTGATAAGACGTGGAACCAAATGAAAACAGACCAAAGAAAGTTGATACCTTAACTGTTCCTTAAGTCAAATTCAAGTCATACAGTTGGTCTTGATAACTACTCCGTTAGCATGTGTTTTCTCTTTTTTGTCTCCATCACTCACAATATCCATCATCCTATCCTGATAACAGTTTTTTTAAATCATAACTGGATTATTTTATTTAAGCATCTCTGGCCTAAAGTTTCACCAAACTCCTCCATTTTGTCAAAAATCCAACAGTTAAAATCTCATGAAAAGGAGAACAAATAAATGTGACTGCAGGACATACACTCCAGCCTTGTTGCATTGCGAGAACTAGAGCTAACATTCATTTCAATCTTTTGAATTTTTAAATCTTTGCATCATTTAGCATCATCTTATTTATCCAAGCTTATCAGGCTGCATGTTCCAACTCAGGATCTCTGTTCATTAGATTGGGTGTATTTATATAGTGTGATAATAAGAATGAATTGGTTTGAAAGAAGAGCTTTAATTTTGCACAGATTTTATCTTGAACATGGTCACTTTTACTTAACATTAGGACCAAGGACTCCATGAACAGTTTTGATTCAAGACAGAAGCCCCAGCTAATATTCCACCACCTCCACCACTACTACTACTACTATTCCTACTACAACTACTTCCATGACTACTGCTATGATTACTACTACTACTACTACTACTACTACTACTAATATTAATAATAAATTGGTCTCGCAACCTGAGTCTTTTCAGTGACAAGAC